CATTCCGTGAGCTGCATCACGAGGTTCATTGTAGACAGAAGGGCTCGAACATCGACATTTCGTTTATTTGTTTTACATAAGAAGAAATAAAGGTGCTCCACATCCCATGTTATGAACCTTAACACATTCACGACGACGCCCCTTTTCCACTTTTCGGTCGCGTGGGACGGACGCGATTTTGTGGGCGCCGCCGCCTCACCACATAACCGCAGATTTTGTTTTGTAAATGAACAAAAACATGAATGTCACAAAATAATTTCTGCAATGTCCAATGCGTAAAGATTATCTAAACATATAACAGTAGGATTTCGATCAGAACGACGAATAGTGGTTACGAAAAGAGAGCATTTATTCACTTTCCCCGTGAAGGAATTTAAAAGCATTTTACACTCGATTACGAGGTTTGCCCACCTATCTGTCCATTCCTAGCGCCTGGCAAGCGATTATCAGTTGGCAGCCCATATGGGCTGCCATCGGCGTGAATGTGTTAAGAGAGTTAAACAATCACACAAGAGAAATTGGCTCGAACTCAAGGGACTTCTTATAGCTTAAAGGAGGATTCCACGATGAAGTAGGAAGTCGAAGAAGGGGAATCCTACCTAGTGGAAAGTCAGGCGGGCTCTCAGAGGACGCAGACCGACTAAAAATAAGCATATGCCCCGCCAATCTAGCATGGCCGTCCCCGCGCCATTATCGCCGCTGCCCACTTCGTCGTCCAGCTCTACCCGAAAAGCGCAGGGAGCGTTATGAGGTCAGCACCGATGAGACACTCATATCGCGAAAACCCAACAAGGAAGGGTTCCATTCCACGGGTTCTGGGCCCTTTCCCATGGCTTCATCCTTGTATCACTTTCCACCTGCTTTAATTTGCCAACAGATGCAGTGCTAATATTCTTCAAAAGCAAGAAAACCTAATCACTATGAAGACGAATTCGTACAGTGAAACGATGGTTATGAATTGAAGCATACCTTCATCACTAGTCGAGTCTTGACGGCGTCTTCGTGGCGGTGATTTATTTTTTCGTGCAGACTGTTTCGAATGTGAAGAGTCATCTACAAATATTAAATATTACAAGTAACAAATAGCCTGTAATGCGTACTCCACCAAGAGCTTCGTCTATTTACATCACACCCACCGCTGCTTGAATCTGAGGAGCTATCTGAGCTTTTTTTCCTCCTTCTAGGAGATTCCTTCAGTGCAACTTCTGAAAAAGAAAACGAATGTTGATAGCAAACCGACATCGATGGTCACGTACTTAATTACTGCAACAATTACATACACCATTTGAATAAAATTCTTACCACGCCCTTTGCTTGAGCCACCACTCCCATCTCTTTCCGTGCTGTTCACTCTTTTACGAGGAGCATCAGTTTTAGCATATTCACGTTTACTATCTTTTGCGACTTTATCATCTTTTTTGTAGCGCAATCCCAGTGGAGATTTCCCTGCTATAAACAAAACGAATTGAATGACTTCTTGGATACCACATCTTAAAGAACTTATATAAAGAACAAGAAAACATTAGACAGACCTGAACAAGAAGAAAGAAAAAAAGAAAAGGAAAGAAGACCATCAATATTTGACATTAATAAAATTCCCAATTCGTACCATTACTTCGCTCTGTATCGCTACTCGAGTGGCGCTTTGGTCGACTTTCCGAATTCTTTTCCTTTAGAAGGTTTTCGCTTTCTTCTTTCTGAAATTGAAGACGAATACATTTCCGATATCACAACTATTGCCGGAGCATTCTAGATCCCAATGAATTACAATACTACTTTGAAATCACACCCCAGCACATATAGGGCTTTTCAATATCTCGACAGGGTAATGTTAGGCCCTATTTGCTACGCTACTTCAATTACCTTCAGCATCACTTGAATCGTGTCGCCGACGTCGTTGTTCTGGGGTGCGCCGACGTTTCGGTTCAAGTTCTACAACAAAACCCATTTCAAAAACTTTCACATATTTACTTTATGTCAATGGCTACCTTCGTCGCTGCTTGAGTCGTGTCGACGGCGCTGTTTCTGTTCACCACGGCGTCTTTTCAGGGTCTCCTCTATAAAGAAAAAAACTCATATGTTGGAATGAGCGTGAATGGAGTATCGCAAGAACTATGAAATTTCTTTTTTTTCGAATCACGAGCTACTGCCACTTCTAGCTAACAATAAGTCCACATCTAGGTGTTAGTTCAGAAAAAGACGGCGCTTCGCTTCTTAGTTTTACAAAAACGAATTAAGAAACAAATATATCAGTTGTACTTCCTGGCTGACACCCATCCCCTCGCCTCTACATTTTTATACATTAGGCATACTCAGCCTTTCATGCGTCTGAGTCAGATTATTATGCAAAATGAAGTCATGACTCGCCTTCGTTGCTGCTCGTCGACTGCCGTTGAAGTTTCACTGGAGGCTTCTCGTCTTCTGAAACAATTACGTGAGAAAAAAGGCGCAAGTAAAGCAGCGTAAAAAAACATACCATCCGAGGTAACAACTTCCTTCTTGACCATGACATCACGACTTTTCTTCTCTTCTTTTCCGTTACGTTTTTTCTTCTTCTCTTTCTTATCTTTTTTCTTTTTCTTCTTATCTTCTTTTCCACCACCAGCGTTACCAATCAGCTTTCTGAAGCAGCACTTTTTCGAAACAGATACTAATAGGGAGAGCAAAAAGGGTACAACCAAGGATACTTCATGAGTTTCTTCTTCTCCTTATCGCTCAAGCTAGCCAGGAAGGCCTTCATCTGGTCTGCCTCGCTTGGCTCCGCCTTCAGCGTACTTACTTCCTGATCCTCACGAATGACTGAAATTGTGCCATAAAATGTACCGTTCTGAAGTAGGTAGAAGAAAACTAGAATAGAATATAATATCCCAATCGATATTACAAGAACGCTGAGTTGTGGGCAAAACAATTCGTCCAAGACCCGCGCATATTACCCTATTCAGGCAACAAATCACACTACCGCCGTACCATTTCACCCTTGCTCAGTTTTTGATGTGATTTTTATCATAGCTTATCAGCATTGACATCGTCAACATGATGATCCGGTTAGCGACCTGCAAACTAAAAGCTCTCGCCGATGTTACAGTTTTGTTTACACTCGTACGGCTAACTGCAGACGACATTAGCAACATTGTCTCAAAATAAAATGTGTAAACGAAGATAAACGAAAAACGCGTTAAAGTGCAACGTAAGTTCAGATGTCAAATGTGGGGCGCATCCCGAAAAGGGATTTGATGGATGTCAAGCGTCTTATACTACTCAAGAGGCGATTAAGCTCGACCTTAACATTCCTAGAACAGTGACTGATGGAGACATTCTGATTTGAGCTTGCTACTCAACTAGAAGAAGAGTAATTAAAGACTATTTTCGCACACTGAGACTTTCAAAACGGAAACCATAAAGGAAGAAAACTCAGCGTACCGTTCAAAACATTTCCTTTCAGGCGCAAACCATGGGTATCTTTCATTTCTTCTGCAAGCTGCGTACGATCCATGAATTCTTTCCGATTCATGAGATCGTCTTTTTTATGCGAAGGACCAACTGCTTCACGTTCTTTGCGCAACTCTTTGATGAGATCCGATGGATTATTAGCATCTGTAAATATAAGAAGCTGAAATCACTTATGACCAAAAAATCAAAGGCATACGAGAGAATATATTTGCAAGTGCATGAATATTGAGAAAGAAACAGTCAACTTACATCCAGCATCTTCAAAATTACCACTCATTCCAAATAGAGGACACTCGTTATCGGTATTCAAGTGGCCCCATTTGTGGCATTTACAACAGCGCACGTTGCGTACCTTGAATGAGAAAGGAGAATTAAAGACTGATAAAAATTAAATATGTAATTAATACAACAAAAAATAATTTGATTGCCATGACTTGCGACGATAAAGCACAATATGATGAGCCACTTTTACTAATCGCCTTTGAAGAAGTTATACAAATTAGCAATGTTCTATTGTTTCCCTTCGCTCTTTCCGGTGACGTATTTAATCACACGTTTCAGAGTATTCCGTTTATAGAAGGATTTACCGCTAATAGTTGCGATGCCAGTGATTTGGAAAGAATGGAGGGGCGAATTTTGGATGGTAAACCTTTGCAAGTGCTTGGCCCAACCACTGATTAGCCACTTATTCACCATCTTGTACCCCCACATATTCAAAGGAGTCATGCACGAAAACTTGCACTTCCTCCTGGCATAAAATCATCAACATCAACTGAATACCTGTCAAACTCCCTTATGAAGCTGAACAACTTAATAAACAGAAAGCGAAACAGCAACAAAACAACGCATTTTAAAGTATTACCTGTATACCGAAAGGCTGATCTTGGATCTGATCGTTATCCTTAGCCCATTCTTCACGAGGCGCGTGATACTTTCGTTGCCACTCGAACTTTGGCTCCTCCTAAATGGTACCAGATGCGACATCATTTCCTTATCAACGATATGAAGAGATCATGTGAAATAATTCACCTTTGGTTCTTCTCTTTTTGTCATTCCTGCTGGTGCATCATACATGAACGACAACCCCATCTTGGCCTTTTCGTCTCCCAAGAGAGCTCTTCAAATGAAAAGTTAAATAATCATAGCAAATAATGGCGTTTGAAAGTTGGGTGCAGAACCAAAAAAAAACCAAAGGAAAGCGCTGACAAGAAAACTAACTTATTATTGAGCATTTCTTGTTCTTTTTCATACTGAACACGGAGATCCTCTTGTCGTTTGTCATCAATTGCTTTTTGTTGCCGAACTTCCCACACCTAAAGCAAAACAAGTTCGAATCAAACCCTGTAGATCACTGATCAGTAGATAAACAAACCCTTTTCAAATTCCACCAAGCGCTTGGATGGAAGTCCTTTTTGGACATAAAATTTTGGAAACCTTTCCCCATCTTGGCGTTGAGTGCTGTGACAAACGGCCAAACGGCAAATAGTTCTTGAAAAAAAACAAGCAACTAAGAAGTGAAACATGGAAGCACGAAGTAAACAAAGTGAATGATGTATCTTAGATATTCCACGGCTAGATACCCGAACGACGAACTAGAGCGCGTAATTATTAAATTCTTTATTCTAAAATTCTCAACAAAATAACATGAACAAACTCACTGTCAACAACATTTGATACAATATCTAACATTATAAAGAATATCCAGCGGAAATAAGCAAGTACCGCATAGAATTCCAATAGCTCTCGAGAAATGTGAGAAAGCGAACACGAAGCTCACAACAACAAACTTTAGGCAGTAGAAAACACTTTGACAGTAGCGTCGGCCGATCCACTCGCAATCAGACCGTTTTCGCCCCATGCACAACATAAAACGCGGTCATCATGACCATGTAAATCAAACAGAGAGGTTTTCGACGATCTAAAAGGTTTCAGAACTGTAGGACAATGAAGGATCAATTTTATTCACCTATTTTTATTAACAGTGATTACCTAACAGATGCAAGGAATAAGTTACTATTGTAATATAATAATTGCTGAAAAAAGCAAAGCCAAAGTGAGCTTCCTCAAAGAATACGACCTACCGTATATCCCACATCTTCACAGACTTATCGAATGATGAGCTTACAAAACATCTTTCATCGCAGGGATTCCACCTTACACATGAAACCCAACCCGTATGACCGACAAATGACTGCTTTACGAGAGAGCCATCTAAAACATGAAACATCATCCTTACTGAAATATCCATCAGTTGTTAATTTATCCTAAGGCTAAATGCAGTTCCTAATCTTGAATGAAAGACGCTAACAAACGAGTTATGTTTTTCTTGGGAAAAAAGTTTACTGCCACTCCTCTCCTTTACTTTCTTCATAAGTAGCGTGTGTAATTCTTGGAAGAAAGTGCATATTGAGAGCCAACGCTATGAAAGGAACCACCCTTGACCTTGAAGGCCTTTGAGGGGGTTCAAAAGTTTTTCAAACGGTTCCAAAGCAGGCATAGGGGAGCATGCGGGAGCCACAGAACCATGGTTTAGTAATCGGCCCCGTGAATACCAAAAAACGGGCGATGAAGTGGAAAGAGTTCAGTACTTCGTGGTGACAGAATTTCAAACTTGCGTTTTGAATCGGCGTTTCAAAATTTGCACAAAATGGGGTGAGCGCCAAGATTGGGAGTCGTGTTCATAACTAGGACCATCAGTACTCTCACAAGCACATTTTGACCAAAAAAAAATGTTGATGGAAGGTGTGACCCAAAAAGGCAACAGTGTGGCGCATGGAGAGCGCGCCATAGTGGAACAAATGACCCCCCCCCCCACAAAAAACTACGAATATGACGACATACAGAGCGCTCGAGCGATGTCTTTTAAGGTTTGGTCGGTTCACTCAATATCGAGCTGGACTCTTAGAGCTTCGATCTACATCATCTCCCCTCTCCGCGATCCGTTGGGGCACATGACAAATGCCAAATTACGATGGGCTGGTCACAATTATGAGACGAAGATGTCCCAGATGGACAAGAAGGACGGTGGAGTGGGCTCCCGGGACTTTCGCGCGGCAACGAGAGACTCGCAAAATGTGGTGGTGCGCTCATCAATCACGTAAAGCAATTGCGTATGCAGCTGAACATTCTTCAGCTCGCCGTCGCCGTCGGACTTTTCCATCACCCATGGATGGACAGAAATGAATAGTTTGTGGCTGGTAAATGAGGACAAGCCGCATAGAAGGGAACCTGCTTCCCTTGAATCAACATGCAGTTTAGCCAGATCACGTACGATTTCCTCTGCATGGCGACTCAACAAACGATACAATTAAGAAGAATCAAAAGTAATCTTCTTCTTTGTCGACTGTTTTTCAAGGACTGGTTCTGACCATATAAGTTCAAGTGTTTGAGGTCTATTTATCGAAATTTGGTCCCATGGAAACTCAGTCATTGATAATCCAATGACTTCCCAATGATAAGTTAAGATAATGTGAGTTAATGCTCAAAGCATGAGAAATCACATATATAAAGAACTAGAAGCGGGCGGCGGTGATGAAACATACTAAAAACTAAAATATGCAAGCGTTTTCAAGTAGCAAGCATCACAAGTACAAATTGTTTGAAATCTTATTACGAATTGCAAAAGCACGCTCACCATGGCTTCGAGGATCATATAGCCGTGGTATGGCATCCGTGTTGCTGCTGATAACTAAACCTGACTTACGATTGACATCTATGCTCGTAAAAGCTTTCAACCCCCGAATTCTTGACACTTCGCCAGCTGAAAGGAAGTAAATCAGAGAAAAGCAGCCACGAAGCTTTTGAATCTTAACATAATTAAAGTTGGAAATTTAAAAAAAACAGTTATGGAAGGCAACAGAAACAAAAAAAACGAAAACGATTTACCCAGTTGTAAATCCCATACAGCAATACTATGATCCCATGAAGCAGACACTACTTGACTGCTGTTATAAGAGCACCACATCAACCCAACCACGGCATCTTTGTGACCGGCTAATGTCACCATTGGGACCTTAAAAGAACATTTCTACTTCAGAAAACCGCTTCTACTTGAATGACAACCATACCTTGGTAATAAAATTTTCTTTCCGTTTCTTGGGTTTGTTATCGCTATTCACATCTTTTTCGAAGATTGTTGATTCATCACCTAAGGATATGTTTACGTTTGCTCATCATAAAGTAATAAATCACTTTAACAATATCAAAAGAAAAACTATCGGAACTTACCCTTTTCAAGATTCCAAACCTTAATATTTGAATCGAATGCACCGGAAACCAAACGGGTACAATCTGAGTTAGCGTCAACACACTCAACACTCCGCTCATGGCCTCGAAAGACAGTCTGCAATAATAGTAAAATCTTAGAATATGAGGTGAGGAGCAATTTTACTTATCCCAAAATGAACCTTTCGAAACTTAGTTCAGAGTAGAAAGCGCATCTCATTTCTAAGGTTCTCAAGAGAGCAGTGCGCTGTTAAACATTTGCATGACAATAAGTGAAGCGGCATTGGAAGAATTCAATCAGAACAGCAGAGTTTCGCAAATCTGCCTTCACTCGATCAAAGGCCTTGGATGCTTGTTGCGCTAAATTGATGGAGAGAAGTACTTAGGGGTCTCATCTAGTAAGGGGCGCGACAGTTCATATTTCATGAAGGAATCCACTTTTTTTCACGGGAGGGTGTAAAAGTTTCAGCGAAATGGTTCACGCACCCGGGGATTTCGTCCCCTTGCAAAAATTGGAATTGCTGTAGCCGGCAAGAACTGTCACACCACATGCCCTCCCCTTACTGGATGAGACCCGACTTATGTTCCAATGAAGACCGAAAAAGAATGAAAGGGGTGTGGTTCACTAAGGGCGCACGCATAGTCGGTCGTCCGACAGCAACGGATCGCAACTGTCTGACTGTCTGACTGCATCTAATCGTCGAATACTCAGGCAAGTCCGACGATCGATACGCATCCAATGCTGTGCGACAGTTACGATCGTTGCTGTCGTCCGACCGACTATGCGTGCGCCCTCCGCCGCGGAAATTTTTCCGCAGCAGGAAGCTCAAGCGCCATCGGTGATAAGTGGAGGAAGGGCTACAATTGCCGAGCGAAATGTCGCTCTCTGTCCTATTGAACCACACCCGAATAAAAGTGCATTAATCTTGATTGTCATTTTTTTACCTCCAGTCTAATCAAACTTCAGTGGCACCATTCCCTGAAATTTGATTCAGACTGGAGATGCAAGAATGGCACAGGGTTGAGAGATTAATGAGAGGCCGGATTTTCAAGAGAGTTGAGCTCACCCTACGGAGCGTTGACTTTCAGACAAGAACACTGAAGAGTCCCTGGAATGAGCAACACAACGTACCTTTGGTAAAAGAGCACCATCTTCAACCTCAAAAAGGGTCAACATTTGGTTTTCGCCACCCACCACAAGTTGTTTTCCTTCTAACTTTTTCGTGTCTGAAAACATGCAATGTACCGTGATACATACTAATAAGCTGTTAAGAAGCGTTTAAATGTTACCTGAGCCGCTTGCTAACAAAGCGCTGCACTTGAATGCACTCCCTTTGTCTCGACTATTTTCCAGAACTTTTTTGCCCTTCTTGTCTATGATTATGATTTCTCCACTATATGTTGTAGATAAGAAGCTTAAAAAACAACTTCTGTAGCAGTGAAAATTTAATAATGGGTTTATTAGCAAACATACTGAGAATGGGAGACGATAACCGAGGAAACCCAGTCGGGAGCTGGTATGTCGTGTAACGGCTTCGGAGTTTCCTTCCCAAGCACACATTCTATTTTGATAACGGTTTCCTGAACAGATGTGTCCACTAGTGACAAGCCGAATACATAACTATCAATGCAAATTCCAACGTACTGTTTCCACGTTATACTCTTCAATGAATTCTGCTAATGAGGTACGAATAAACGTTTCTCCAACGAGGAACTCGAACCGTCGTTCACTCCATTCATCTATAAATCGGAACTATTCAACGAGATTTGCGAATCAAGCGATGAAGTACCTTGCAGAGAAGAGAAATCAAAGTATTACCATTAGTTGAAGAAATGGTTTTGTTAACCAAAGCATTCAAATTTTCGCAATTGGCTGACACAGGCACATCAAATATTGCTGAGGGAATATCAGTGACCCTTAAAGAAAATCGCTGTAGTTGACCGTCTTTCCATATTGATCACAACCACAGTTTTAACATTCTCAAATACAAACGTTTGCTCCTCGCTGAAGAAAGAAACCTGTACATGGCGCATATCGCCAGAGCTTTGAAACTCTTCAGACTGCTCTCCCATTTTTGAAGAAGCTGTCCGGGAGCTATAACAAACAACAATAAATATACAAGAACAACAATGCAACGGCGTATTCCCGATTGACTTTCGCTCCTAATAAACTACACAGATCCAACCGTAGTACTTTATTGAAATGGTCCGAATGTAATGAAAGCTTGTGAGAAGTTCCATACACCAAAGCATTCAACTACAGAACAAAACGCCGAACATAACCTGTAAGTTAACAAAATACGAAAACAGACGGCATTTATTACGTATATCTACCGTTGGTAGCCGGTGCAATTACGTATCACGGTCAATACAGTAACTTCACGCCTAGTTTAACGACGTTGGGGGAGTTGGAGCGAGCACATTTCAAAATTTCGTCGGTGAATGTAATTAGTAAGATTCGCTAA